TGCTATACCACAGGACGTTCGCAGGACGTCCCTGGATGAAAATAGGACATCCTGATAACGTCCTCAAATCCCGTCCTGGACGCCCTAGGGACATCCTTAGGACGTCCTTGTGCTGTTTGGGTACATTTGGAACTCGTTAGTGATCTGACCTCCGACTCCTTTATCGCGGTTCTTAAGCGTTTTGTACCGCGTAGGGAGAAACCTTCTTGTATATACTCCGACAACGGAATCACATTCGTCGGAGCTCAAAGACAGCTCAAAAAATTTTTCGAATTTTTATGGAATGATCGTATCCAAATTAAAGTTGCTCATTTTTTGCGCGACGAAATCACGTGAAAATTCATTCCACCCAAAGCGTCTCACTTCGGCGGGCTGAGAGGCTGCCGTTAAGTCCGCTAAGTATCATTTATACAGAATCGTCGGAAAGTCACCATTGACCTTTGAAGAATTTCAGACAATAAAGCAATTCTGCGAAATAGAGTCTAACCTGAATTCGCGGCCTCTTACGCCACTTAACAACGATCCTAACGATCTTGATTATTTAAGTCTCGGTCATTTTTTGATTGGCACCGTCTTAAATAGTTTTCCTTACAATGACTTAAGGGGTTAGGCCACTGTAGCGGCGGAAAAAATAAGCATATTTTGGGAATTTTTTTTCAGCAGAACAATAAAATAAATCAAAATTCTGAAAAAGGCACTTTATTATACTTGTCATAAACTGCAAAAATAATTTTTTTCGAAGTAAAATAAAACAAAATGGTCGCTACACAGCTGTTTTAAGATAAAGTCTTTTTTTTTTAAGGGCGCGCGGCCGAACCAACTGCACCTGCAATTTTTAATTTACGGTGATCAGACAAATTTTTTTCGATTATACATGAAAATAGCTAGAGAAGTACGTAAGATTTTTTTGATATATCGATTTTTGCAAAAATGGCGCGGTTTAAAAAAAAAATGTTCAAAATTTTCAAAAAAAATCGACCTAAAATTGTTTATAAAAAAAAATTATGTAACATATCGAAAAAATCCTACGTACTTCCATGCAGAATGTAATTATGAATATATAGTTCAAATTTCAAGTCAATCGGTCAATATTTGTTCGAGTTATTGGTTCGGCCGACTTGAAAAACGTAGTTTCCAGAAAAACGCGTTTAAAGTTTTCGGTATGGAAAAATTGTTAATAAATTTTATATACCTTTAGTCAGCGATGGCTGCGCCATATAATTGGCTTTCCAAATTAACGTCCTGCTCGAGTTCTTTTTTTCTGTGAGCTTTCAAAGCAATTCGTGCCTGTTTTGCAGCGTCAGGTAATGATTGCTCTGCATGCTTAATGCGTTGCTCGTCCACCTCCAGGCACTTATTATAGCTGTTAGATCCGATTTTCATGCCCAAAGCATGTGCATAATTGATGAAAAGCTGTCGTTATAAACACAAACAGAAATATTCGTTGCAATATCTAACACATTTTTTCCACTGGAAACTGATTTTGGCGCTAAAGCCCACACCGTCGAATTCAAACTTTCATTACTGTTTTAAGTATAACCACCGATACATCGAACGAAAAGATCGTCACTGCTAAGTTCTTCATAAACAGGTTTTATTGCGTCAAAGGTTTTATTGCATCTTTACTGAGAGCTGGCTCGTGTTTATAGCTGTCCAAAGTATTCGTGGCTTTTGCTTTTTGCCAACTGCATGAATTTTCTCCTGCTGGGCATTTATCACGTTGCGGATTTTCATCTGTCGATAATTTGTGATATAGTGTCGCTCATATTTCATTTCTCATTTTTTCCACTGAGTCACTATTTCTTCAGATTGCTAATCCGTAATAAATACATAGTTAAACTGTCAATTAGCTTTCCGGTCAATTTTCCTTTTCCGCCAAGACCTTTCACTTTCTTTTTTAAATTACGCAGTCGGGTGCCCATCCTTTTTTGTACGTGGTCAACGCATTCTTTCTTATGCACTTTAAAATTCTCATACGGCTTAGCATTTACGACTTCTTTGAAGGTTTTGGAGTCCCCATCGCTTACATAATATGCGTATTTGATGTCATGTAAATTTTGAGAGCGCTGAAACATTTCAATAACTGAATCAACCTCCATCTTTCCAGCCGATCCTTCGTGATTTGCTGTACATTCGCTTGCATGGCTTTCGGCTCATTCAGAGTATTCTTCGGTGTCACTTTTTTACTCCAATATTCGCATGCTTTACAATATTTAGATTTCACGATATAATCAATGATTTTCCCTGTATTATAGCCAATTAGAGTAACTATGCCAAACAACGAAGAAAAACCTCTCTTCCTCCACGAGCCATCGCCTGATACAATAATACCATTTATTTCCCCTTTTCATTGCAAATTGCTTTCTCTTTTTTTGCAGCGTTTGATATACTTATTTTGCAAATAGCATCAGTTGCAGTAGAAATATGTTGAACAATTTTATCGTAAAAAGAATGAAACATTGGCCGGGGCAGTTCCATTAAAGCACAAAACTTTGTAATACCGTATAAGCCAACTCCAAGCAACCTCATGACAAGTACGATTCGGCGGTTAATTTCGTAGCCATTTCCAATAAACGGCCCACTTGGGATAGTTTCTTGTTTACAATTATTTTTACAGGACACTACTATCTTGAATCCTAAGCCTCTCTTGCCACTTTTAGAAAATTTCACTTCCGACTTACACACTTTGCAAACGACGAGATTTGATATTGCAGAAAAAACGGCAATAAAATTTATCAAGCGATATCCAAAAGCTTCGTCCACTTCAACATCATATAGATCTTCAGACATTTTCAGTTTCTTTGCGGAAGTGCTAACATTCAAATCTTCGGGGGCCTCTAATTCATGACGATTCAATGGTCGTCTTTGTGATATTTTCGGTTTTTTACCAGGAGTACTTTTTGACCCTTTTTTCCGCTATAAACTAATTTTTCACTCATTTTGAAAATAAAGTAAATACTGAACAGTGATATACTACAATGATAACAATACTAAACAAACTTATGAAATCAAACTGAGAAAAACATGTGGCTTGCGAATAGCGTCGTTTTTCAATCCCGTACGGTGCGTAACTGACGCTACACAGACGCTTTTCCTAAGTGTGTAAGACAAGTAACGAAATCTATAGGTCACTCAGGAGAACCTTTAATATGAAAGTCTCTTCAGGTATAAAATACATTCATTACTTACCGCTGTTTATCTGCACCAACCTCATAAATTCCAGCGCGCCGTAGTGATCGTAAAAGGCGCTCGCTACAGACTGAGAGGCGCTGCGCCAAAATTCAAAATAAAAGTATTTATACATTTTTCCCGCCTTTATCCTTTAAGCATGTCATTATTAAAATATTAAGGCATCTTTTAAGCAAAAAAAATCGATTTTTTGAAATTTCTACAGTGGCCTAACCCCTTAACCGACGTAAACGAAAATAGATTAGTGCGTTGACAGCGAATCGAGCAGGCAAGACAACACTTTTGGCGCAGGTGAAGTCAAGAATACCTGCACACCCTATAGGAACGTTCCAAGTGGAGAGCTAACAAGGGCGATCAGCTAAAACCTAACCAAATGGTATTATTAAATAACAGGGTCTGGTGCCGCTTCAATGGTTGTTGAGTCGCGTTCAAGAAGTGCATCCAGGGGCTGACAACAGTGACAACATCGTGCAAACGGCCACCATTCGCACATCGAAAGGCTCATTTACCAGACCGTTGTCCAAAATCGCAATCTTGCCCATAGACACGTAATATTTGCCTGATCGCTCACATTAATTATAAGTTTAACATAATCTTAAGTTCCGCGTTAGTTATAAGTTTGCGTAATTTCATTCATCATTATATAACGCTTACTGCGTTGCATCTTTAAGGAGCTCGAGTCAAATATGTTGCTATTTTCATTTCCTAGTCTTAGTTAGAGTGGGTAAAAATAGAGTGGAGCCAATGAGCCGGAAGTCGCCATTTTACGATTGACAGCGTAACTGAGGCGCATAAATTTAAACTACGTAAATGAACAATTTATTCTTCAATCCGCTTGTCATTTTCAAATTTAATACCCTTAAAT